TTTCAATGCGCACGTCCCAGGTCACAGGCTCCCATACTCTATTGAAGGTTCCAAAGTTTCCCGATATATTTTCTCTTCTTGCTATTCCAAATTACGCGGTAAAATTAATTGTTCACACGACGCGGATAGAAGTTTGATGAAATAATTTTTTAAATTCATATTCATCTTAATTGATTTTCTTTAAAAATATAATAAGATGCTCTCTATTTTTAAGACGGCATTAGCTTATTTCAAAAATCTGTAAAAATAATTCGATATTTTTTACGATGAGCTCTCTCTCGAAATTATTTGTCTAAAAAGTGCAGTTAATAAACGAATAAAATAATGTGAAATGTATTTTTCTCTAATCTGTTTTCTTTGGTAAAACAATTTTCTAAGCTAATATTTGTTTCAATATTATTTTCTAGATGTAAAAATATTTCGATTTTTTACGATGAGCTCTCTCTCGAAATTATTTGTCTAAAAAGTGCAGTTAATAAACGAATAAAATGATGTGAAATGTATTTTTCTCTAATTTGTTTTCTTTGGTAAAACAATTTTCTAAGCTAATATTTGTTTCAATATTATTTTGTTTTTGATTATTCCTTCTTTCAATGCGCACGTCCCAGGTCACAGGCTCCCATACTCTATTGAAGGTTTCAAAGTTTCCCGATATATTTTCTCTTCTTGCTATTCCAAATTGCTCGAGTAAAATGAGTTGTTCACAGAACGGCGGTGGGTCCGGCCGGGTCCCGTGGACCAGCGCAGCGGCGCGTTGCGGTCTCCCGGAATTACAAATGATATCGAATCGAATCGCTCGTAATATTATTCGATACGTGTTCCATTACCTGACCGGGGCCTCGAGATTCAAATTAGATTACCGGCAGGTCAGACGCTCTCTCGCGTTCATATATTTCTTACACACCGACACACGCGCGTAGGGCGAGAAAGGGAGGAGACACGGCTGTGCCCTACGACTGTGCCCTACGGTGGTGCCCTACGGAAGGAACGATGAATGCTGCCGATCGCTGGAGGAGGAGCCTCGCGTGTAGTCGCGGATTCCCTCAGGTTCCCTACGATACGGTAGCCTCACGTATTCGCAATTTACTTCTGATTATTATGCTCTCTATACTTACGCGGCATTCTTATTTCTCCCTCTCCCCCGTTTCCTCCCTTTATCTCTCTCTCTTCTCTCCGTAACTTGATCCGATGCCTGCGATGCGCCCTGAATGAGAATCGCGGTAGGGCGCATCGATTTAGGCGATTCGATCGTTGTAATCTCGATGTAAGCTCTCGACCCTTCGCACGCTGGACTTTTGCAGCTCGCTTTTTCGCCGATTTTTTGGTAGCGGTATGTGCGAATATTTTTGTGCCACTTGGCGTGATTTTTATTCATCATCGTGAGAATTATGAATGAAATCGATTCTAGAAATGGGCAACCGTTCGCCGGATGTAATCGTCACGATCTCTCGATCCTCTGTATATCCTTCGATACATCTTGCAGCTTGCTTTTCGAGTGATTATTTGATAATAATGCGATAATTGTGTTACTTTGTGATTTTTATATTGCAACATTTAAGGAGAAAATTAAGATTAAAATGACCTTTCCGGTTAGCTTTGTTGTCTAAATAATTGTTTAATAGCATGAATAAATAGTTGCTACTTTTTGCTTCTTTCATAAAAAAAAAAAAAACTAAAGAGATAATTTCTAAAATTATTGTTAAAACAATATTAAGGACGAAAAATTTGTATTATTGTAAACATTTTATTTTATATATTTTTTTTAATATGACGATTAAGATTGAAAAATTATAGGGCTCTTATAAGAGAAAGCAACGAAAAATATTTAGAAAAACAAAACAATTATCTATATATAAATGATAAATACTATCTCTCGATAATTGAATAGGCCATAGTAATAAAAATAGAACCACTATATTGTGGCTCTTTAGATTTTCTACATCGATGATATCAGTTGGAAGTGCTTGCAGTAATGATCGGCAATCGATTGATTGAATGATAAATGAATATTCTAATTGCAAGAGACGGAAAAGTAAGTGTTTATATATTTTGCATTGCAAATTATTCAATGAAACGACTCCTCGGAAACATTATTTGTGAGATCCAGAGAGCGTACTGTGAAAAATATTGCAAATACAATTACAAAATATTTCCGGTCGCATCGCTCTTGTAAACCGTTATTATTGCTGACATTATGAAGGTGTGTCACGCGTCACAGAATTCTCGAGCAAAACGGAAGAGACGGCTGTTCCCCGTAATAATCTCTCACATGTCGCTTCAGGACACATCGCAGATGCGTGATCCACGAGCGAGGAATCAATAGAAAGTTAAAGATCGTCATAACACGTGGATTCAAGTCTTTAACCGTGATCTCGACTGACATTTATTGCCCGACATTTCCGTCATGCGAAAACTCGAAGGAAGACAGTAGAAATATCTCTGTATGTTCTCTGTCTGTCACTATTATTCAAATGTGTACGAAAAAAAATTTGTTAACTTGAGATTAAACCTTTCAACTAAATTACTACTTTGTTAATTGAACATATATTAGTATTTAAGTCAAACATAAGTTTTGTTAGATTTAATGTCATTAATTTAAATATTTTACAACGCGCTTCTTGACCCTCGAATAATATTGTAATCTGCACGTTGAATCAACATGCATTATGCATTAATGATAATTAATTATACTCGCGCGTATTTTATTGTTATGTAAACAAATAATTTTTATTAATTAATTTATGCGGTTCGTATCAAGTAATCGTAATTCAAACGCGAGAGAATCGAGAATTTAAAAATATTAAGATCAAGACTTTGGAAATTAATTGATTCTTTGGACTCCTCAAAGTTGTAATTAATAAGAATTATTCGTGAATTATCTCAATCTAGAATAATATCAAATGTAATATTGAATGTTACTTATTGCCAATTAAAATATAATGTATATCATACAACAGAATGAACGTGTGCAAAATTATAGCTATCATATCTGCAATTTACATTTAATTACGTTTAACATCGAACGTGATATTTTTGTTATATTTTTTTTCAACTGTACATTTACATGTTTTTTTCACAGTTTTTTGTTGCCTACATTTACATGTAAAATTTTATTAATATTCATTGAATATGGCTCATCAATGTTGAAAGATTAATATTATGTCAGGTATTATTCGCGCGATTAATCCGTCACTTATGATGCTGCATCTGCATATGTATGCAGATCTAAAAGAGTTGCAGAATCTAAGGATTCGAGCAAACTCAGATTAACATTTTGCTGACTCGTATTTTTGGCACCTGCCACACCTAACGCGCCACGAAATTTGAAACGTTCCGTATGTCGGGCCTTAGGGGGCTTGTGGAGAAGAGTAAAATAAAGCGCCGCCTTTGAAAGGATTGAGCTCGGCCAGCGCTTCCTGGCTCTCGAGCGAAACATCAATCAAAATTAAAGCCCGTATTCATCGCCGATATATTTAAGCTTGCAATTAAATAAACGATAGATTCTACGAACGATCGCGTTTTCGCGATCATACGTATTCGTGTCTCATCTGTCAAATTGCAGGCGTAATATAACGATGCAATTTTAAGCAATCGAAGTATACGACGTGCATTCCTTCTAAATATAGTGCTGATTATATCGCACAGTTAATATCATATATTAATCCCTTATGCAAGAGGTCGGGATTAAAATTAGTAAATATGTAAATCGCATGGTGCAGTTAAAATGTCAAACAGAAACACAAATAAGAAAAAGAATGTTATTCTCATTTTTTAAAACTGTTTACCGCTTTCGTTAGGTAAAGCTACCGTCGCTTGGCTGACTATCGTGTTAGCGCTTTGCGTATCACATTCAAGTAAAACATTCTCATGTAAATATATATGCATAAATATTTAGTATATTAAATGTACTTTACATATACGTATGTATTAAAACTGAACTCTAATATACGGAAATTATTTAGAGAGGAAATCAATGAATGAAATATGTAAATATCATTATTAACTTGTGCAATTTTTATTCTTGAGTGAATCATTTTTTTTTTTTAATTTTTTTACTTTAGTGAGACGGTTACTTTAATTATTAAACGATTTTATGTTTTTTTATTAACGATACATCATTGATGAATTATACATAAAATTGAAACTTTGGAACGCGTTTCTTTCTTAAGAATTATTGATCTCATATATTGTGTAATAAAATTATGCAAAATATATGGAAGAGAATATATATATATAGTAGGTATTTTGATCAAAAAATGAATTATTTAGACTGATTGAGTAAAAGTTGATTTAAAAAATAAATATTAAACAAAATGCACATGAATCATATCAGAATTTTCATTAAAATTTTGATTATACATAAATTTCGTCCTCTCTCTGATGAGCTATTGAGATATCTATATCTCAAGCATTCATTGATCATTAATTACACATTGATAATATCAATCTGTATGACACTTTTTCCTAAAATTAACCTATGAATGAACGAGAAAATAATTGTATGCACGGAAAAAAAGAATTAGCTACCATAGCTAAATTTTAGCTATTCATATATTATACTATCCATGAAATTTAGTTATCATGCCTATATTTTAGCTATAACAACCAATATTTTTTAGCTATAACATTCTCCGTTAAACAATGGCTAAAAAATATTAGTTACATAGCTAAAATTTAGACACGATAACTAAATTTCAGGTTGTAATATATGGACAGCTACACTGTAAAAGAATGTGTTAACTTGACTAAACCTTTCAACTAAATCTCACCATGCATTTTGTTAATTGAACATATATAAGTATTTAAGTGAAATATACGTTGTGTTAGATTTAATTTAAATATAAATATATATGTTCAATTAACAAAATAATATTTAGTTAAAAGGTTTAGTGAAGTTTCAGAAATTCGTTTGCAGTGTAAAATTTCATTTTCAAAACACGCGTAAAATAGAGTATCTTAAGCAGGTATCGCAGTAGATCCGATTGAAAATTGTGGCTTACCCTGACTGTGCTCGCCCGCGTCGAAGGTCTTGCTAGTCATCTGGAAGAGCGCGTCCAAGGGACTGCCCTGTCCTGTGGTCCTCTTGCCGTTTTGTCCGGCGTGCGAGCCGTGTTGCTGCGACGCTTTCCTCTTGAACTGCTGATGCTGCTGCTGCTGCTGCTGCTGCGGCTGCTGGAGCGCCGGGTGATGCAGACCGGGATGAATGGCCGCGTGATGAAGCGCGGCGTGATGATGGTGATGATGGGCGAGCGGGTCCGGGCTGCCGGAATCCGACACGGAGCTCCTTCCGGACGACGAGGAGCTGCTGAGAGGCGGCTCGCTAATGGAGCCGGACATGGACGCGAGTGACATACCCATCAGCGAGAGGTCCCGGGGTCCGGCCGCGTGACCCGGATGATGACTACTGTGATGATGATGGTGGTGGTGCAGATGGTGTTGGTGATGTTGCTGGAGATGATGACGGTGCTGATGGCTGAGGCCGGAATCCACCGTGTCCCAGGGACGGACGATCTTCGCCTTTGGCCGATGCGATAAGATGTCCAGGATACTGAAGGACTTGACCCCGCGATCGTTGGACTCCCGTTCTCTCTCGTCCTCCTCATCCGAGTGCTGCACCTGCACCATCTTCAGACGTTTCAACGGCTTGAAATAATCGTCGGTGGTGCCGGCAGCTGTCGCGCCGTTGCTACCGGTCCTGCTGTCTACCTCCTCCTCCTCTTCGTCATCTTCCTCGTCGTCTCTGAGCGTCGTAACCGAATCACCGCTCTCGCGAGTCCTGCTACCGGTTCGTCCGTTCGACATCCTGTATTCCCCGTTGCGCGAGTAATCTCTTTCCTCCTCCTCCGTCATCGAATCTCGCGCGTAGGTTCTTCTGGGACTCAAACGGTCGGCGTAATCCTCCCTGGAGGAAGCCAACTCGTCTTCCGTGTTCGGGGTCACGACCACCAGTGGTAGCGGGCTGGGACAGCCCACGGAGATCTCGTCCTCGTCGTCTTGGACGTCACCTCGACCTGGCGAGCTTCTGCACGACGTCCGTCGGTGCGCCGGCGAGCTGCTCATGCAACCGGGCGTCGCGGCGCTGGAAGATACCGTCGTCGACGGCGACATCGTGTACGATTCCGTCATCTCCGTGGTACACATGCCGGAGCGAAGAGCTAGCTTAGAAAGAAGCGAAATCGCTCGCGAGACCCTCGCCTGTCTGACTTGGAGCAGTCAGTCGAGGTCGCGGCAGGTTTAACTTCTCAAACACCATGCATCTTATTTCAACGCGCACCTTTTCTACCTTCGAAAACTGTTCACGAGGTTGTCGCACAGTCGTATCGAGTCCTTACTCACTGCTCCAACATGTCCAGATCTTCGACACTTGCTATCGACGATCCGTCAATGTTGCACTCGTATTCTCCGTCATCGCGCTGAACCCTACACACGAGTTTCATCATCAGCATCCGAGGATCCGTCTCATACCTCCCGCCGAATCATTTCCCTTAAGATCAGTCGGATATCGACCCGAGTCTTTCCTCTTCATTCTAACACACTGTCACCGTTGAAGCTTCTAAACAAAACACCAGAATATTATAGCGGAACTTCATAGCGTGCTCGAGCTTCTTCGAAGCATCTCGGTCCTCGTCGAATTTCCAGGACAACCTGTTCTTCCTGGGAGTAGAAGCTCGACGGGTCTCAGGCCTCTTCTCTCGTTTGCTATTCTCACTGAACAACAGCGCACCAGCGCGACGCGTCCTGATGCCGAGCGTGTTTGATCCCGCTGCGAGCGAGATACGCGCGCGAAACGTCAATACGTGTCGGCGTTTCTAACGAGTTTCGGAGCTAAGGAGGCACAGCCGGGTTGCCTCCTCTCTCTCTCTCAGGCCAGTCGAAGCCGGTGACGCGAAATGGTACGGTAGATGGGGATCCCCCGGCGCGGCGCCGGCGTTGGGCAGGCGCTTTCCACACAACCGGCTCAGCGCACGCGTAGAAGGTGGTGGACTCGCTCGAACTCGGCTGAACATTTCGAAGCCGCTGCCACGGTACCAAGTACCACCTCCGTTGCAGAGACGTGCCCCTTTGGCGGACCCAGGGGCTGAGCCAGTCCGAACTCCGCCTTTCGTGTCTAACGTAGCGAGCACGGCAAAATGACGCCGCTGCGGGATGGAATTTTTACGAGACGTACTTAACGTCCCGCAGCGCAGCGGCGCGACCGTTCTTCCTTCCTCATCGTCCTGGTCTCTCTCTCGCCTCCGTCCTTCTTTGCCTTTCGTAGCGCACGCGTTCCTCTCTCGCTCGAATGACGTGGGACTGACCCTCCACGACGCGGAGGGCGACTAACGAGGGCCCACCGTGATTTCGCCCCATCCGGAGAGTATATACGGATTTTTGGGCTTCGCCGCGAGCGAGCTTGGGAACGGATTATCGGACGAAAAGAGTTCTAGCGGCCGCCCAACATCCAGATGCGGGATAAACGACTTTCGAGACAAATACGTCCGATAATGCGATATACTCCACACCGAGGAAACAGAGGACTTGTCTTCTGTAGTATTATGCATTATGCATTATATGCACCACGTCTCTATAATTTGCGTTTGTCAGTTACTTCCTCTATTATTATTATTTACGTCTTTCTCTACTTTGTTATTTGAGCGTAAAAGTATATAATATAATAGGATATATAAAGAGAAGGAAGAGGTATTTTCAGTTTTTTTTTATATTTTAGACACAGTAGACTAAAAACTTGATAATCTTATTAAAATTTTTTAAATAAAGAACATGTTAGTTTTGTCTGTCACATATATAAATTGTGTGTATGTGTATAAAAATACAAATCAATCTGTCATATAGTATGATAGAAAAATTTTTGTTTTTCAAAGATTTCAAGATCAATTGTTAAAATTAATCCAAGAACAATCAAACAAGGAAATGTCTTTAATAAATCAAACATAATCCAAATTGTCAAAGGACTATGAAATCATAACTTTCGCAGATTTTCTGTAACAATAATATTAAAAGAATATCAAAACTATTACGTATCATTATCCACCAGCTAATTTGAGAATCGATTTTGATTTAATTGCAGCAATATCATTGACAACTAACAGTCTTCATTGATATCTTATTCGATATTATTCTTCTGTCATAGATATTCACAATTTGCTCAATTAACTCTCTTTTGATTGATTTTGTTGAAAGAAATTAAATATGTTTCTTAAATCTACTAAAATTCCAATTATTTTATGTACGCAATTAAAATCACATTGTAGAATTATTAATATATTACTGAATAAAAAGAACTTTTTAAATTTTCTATTGAATTTGTATGGATAATTGAAATTTGAAGATAAATTATAAAATTCCCATCAAATCCATTCATCGAGTTGTTGCTTATTGTCGTGGCAATCTTTTGTACGAATTGATGAATGAAGAACAAGAGCGTATATATGTTTCCATTGAACGGGCTCAATTTAAAGGGAACAGAGTCAAAGACTGTTGAATTCTGCAGAGTGCATGTTATTTTTGTTCTTTTTACGTGGTTTTGGCCGAGGGAATAGCACCGGATGCATCCGACGGGCCATTATTATATCTATTCCTATATCATGCTTTGTATATTTTTTTAAGTTTTATAATTTTCATCGATAATAAAAACTGAGAAACGTTACAAAATAATATTAAATTCTCAATTTATTTCAATTTTAATAGATATTAATTGCGTATTATATTTAAGAAGAGAACGCTATTGCATCTCATTCACACACAAATTAATATAAATTGATTCATATTGATAATTGAAATCACAATTTTGCAGTAATAAAGCAAAAGCTAGTTAAGCAAATTTTCATTTTGTTGAAAATGTTTGGAATGAGAATTATCATCATCATTATTTATGTAGAAAACATGTAGCAAAAGTTGAATGAAAATTGATTATTCGTCGTCTACTGTTATATTATATTTGACGTATACACATTTCTATTTTTCTACATTACAAGTCGATATTACCTATCGATTTCTGATGTAAATGTGAATTTATATAACAACCGAGAAATACAATTCGCTTTCACCGAGCGATGAGTCGCTTTCGTGCCTTCGGAATTTCACAGAAGCGGATTTCGCGAGTCTCTAATATATGAACATCGATAATTGTAATAAATCGCGCTAAGCAATTTACCGCGCTAAGCGTACACGACGATAGTAAATTGTGCGCGATTGCGTGCACAACGTGTAATCTAATCCTACCGACATCCTGCCTATCTAGATTGTCGTTTAATAGTCGTTATTTCATTGCAAGTAGCATAGAGCTAAAAAATATACGCCGCGTAAATGTGACATTTGCAGAGGAACAATTGTCTCGGCAGAAACGTAAGTAAGCCACACATCGCGCAGGTTTGATATGACTTTTGTAATAGAATTTTTGAGATTGATAAATTGATATAAACAAGAAGGGAGCGTGAGGAATAAATTTTATCTACAAAATTAATCAAATTTTTCGTTGAAAGTATATTGATAAGAGAGAGAAAGAAATTGTAAACATCTTTCTCTTGTATATTCCGTTATCTTTCATTGATAATTATGAATCCATCTTTGAATTGGATTTTGGAAAAAATGTATTAATTTCGTCATTAGACTTTATAGCATATTTTTGAAAAATAAATACATATAACACAAGATAAAATATTCTTTCAATATAGAAGCTTCAGATTGAAGTTGTTCTAAAAAACCCATCCTTCAACAAAATATCCTATAATATCAGTTATTGCCAATCATTTATGAGACAAGAACGATTGACACTTTCTCTACGAAAAATAGACTTTGAATGGATGAAGAAACACTCGCCTTAAAACTCCGCTCGTTCCTTTCGCAGCCTTGTATTTAAATATCTAATGTACGGGGCATCTCGCACACGCGTGCATTTAGCGCTTCGGCGATTAAAGAATCGTCGGGAAACATTTATTGAATCAATTAAGCGCGGCGTGAAATCCGGCGAGTACGTTGATTGCGAGGAACGCAAGCAATCTCTCATTCACCGAAATCGGTAAAATCTTTTTAGAGTCCCCTTTAGGTTCAATTTAGCGGGCAGGAGCGGTGCCGACCAGGTTCTTCTCGGCCAGTTCGACCAACCGGACCGTCCGCAGCCCTTTTTCTTCCTCTTCTTCTGCATCTTCGCTTCTTCTTCTCGGCCTTCCACGTCGGCTTTTCTATCCCGATACAAAGAGGCGCGAGCGAGCCTAATTATTATGATAGCTCGCCACCGGATTCTGTCGGTCCCTTTGATCTGCCGCCGTTTAGCATGATCCCCCGATATTTAGGTAGGCTCTGTTGTCCAGGAAAGCATGGAGGGGGCACCCTCGTGCAGTAAAAGAGGAGAGATGGTGTGAATATGTATATGTGTGCGTGTGTGTATAGCCGAAGAGGAGCGAAAGGGAGAAGGGTTTAGAGAAGGAATCATTGGTAGAACAGGGACGCGATAAACTATCCATCAATGAGGATTTTTTTTCGAAAAATTTACGCTTCTCCTCTCGTTTCCCTTTCTCGTCCCGCTTGATTGCTTCTATCAACTCCATCAGTTTCGTCATTCCCGGGCCACACGCGAACGCGGATTACATTAAGACATTTTTTACGAACGAAGACCGGTCTTTGATTGATAATTCCTTTTTTTCACGCGTCGCGTTCGTTGGGACGCATTTACGGAGTAGTAAAAAATAGCCTATCTTTTACGTAACAAGATGACACGTTGGAAATTTTTATTGAAATGGATTTGCAATATCAAAAGCAATATTGTTTTCTCTCTTTTTTTTTTTTAGAGGAACATGTATAATTATTGTTATTTTTAAAGTTGAGTTTAATATTGCATGGGTGGTGTTTTGACGTGTAAAATTATTTGTAGTTTTAGGAAATACTAAAATAACATGAAATTAATATAATATTAATTTGCAAAGTTAATTGTATATGCAGCGTGCAATTAACAAGAGCTCAACGCAATCAAGAGCTCTTTATTGTAAAATGCGCAAGGGACTAGGCTTTCTCTCGTAAAAATTCGTGACATTTGTCAGAATGTCAAGAGGTCATCCGCATACGTTATTGAAATCAGGAGGTGAGTCCTACCCACTTTTCAAACCAATTCTATCAGACTTACTTGCGCAGATATTACGACGTTTCGATGTGTCTGTTTAGCAAATGTCAGATGAGACGATGAAAATTTATTATGAGATGTGCATTTGCATGCGCATCTAATTTTATGCACCGGTAACTTCAATATTTCTCACGCCTCGCGTTGACAGAACAGATCGGTTATCTCTAAAAATATATATATATATATATATCAATATTAGTGAAAATTATCTACCTCGCCCGATCTAATTTAATCGCGTTCCACAGCATTGGCTATTCCTATAAAGATATATCTATTCTTCTTCTCTTGGCCACACAGAAAGATCGATAAAATAAACATCTTTTTCAGTATGTAAAATGAATGGAATTTTAATTTTTTTAAATATTAGATGATAACTTTTTTATATCTAGTATAGCAATTATAATTAATGAGAAATAGCAAACCTTTTTATTTATTAATCTTCAATTAAAAATTTGTTTTGTTACACAGGAAAATCGATCAAATAAACATCTTTTTCAGTAAAAATGAATAGCATTTTAATTTTTTTAAACATTAGTTGATAACTTTTTTATATTTAATATAGTAATGATAATGAAAAATAGCAAACATTCTCATTTATTAATCTTTAATTAAAAATTTGTTTTATTAATTGTATCGCACGTTTTGCATCAAATATTTTATTTAAAATACTCAAGTCTCATTTTCATGACGTCTCTTTTAAATTTCAAAATAAACTTTAATTCTATATAAAAACGTTTTAACGCAGTATATATTTGCACTCATTTAAACGAGTTTTTATTTATCTCTGGCGTTGAACGGAATCTTAACGAGATAAGTAATAGTCAAACATTTTAGATTATGTGATGTTAAATACAGATATACGAACATACGGGTCCTTTATAAATACAACCCTAATGCGTTCCAAAACTACCTGAACTTTCCAGTTTATTTGTTTATTTTATGTTCACCGTCCCAGAACGGATAAGATCGGCTACATTTACATATAATGCAGGTATAATTCTTTCACTTACATAAAGTGTACTAAGTCAAGTTATTCACGTTAATCCGACAGGGATGCGACGCATCTAAAAGGGGGTAAATTGAACCAGGGTGTCCAGCAGACTCGATGAAAAAAAATCCCTGACCTTTTCAGATTTTTCAAGATCAGAAATTCATTTTTCCCCTGACTTTTTAATATTAT